TTTATATATCACAATAATTTCAACTCAGAATTTTTTTAGGTCAGATATTCTAATAAGAAAACCGTTTAACCATCAATTTTTATGAAGAACAAGAAAACCTTCTTTGGCTTAAATGTCAACACATCTTGTACCTTAGGTATTTCAAACCATGAGCTTTCTACAGCTAATCATTTAACAATTCCTTACAGGGGTGAAAAAAACATACTCTTTCAGACACAGAAAAAGGCCCTTGGTTCTTACCAAACTTTTAGATATCAGCATAAGAAGACACTTGAACTGCCAATATTTATGAAAACATGAGAAAATTTTCCTATTCAAGTGTACCACTGATAGACAAACTGATCACAAACATCACATACGTGTGCACACATATACAGTTGATTGATCAATTTGACCCTTAAGGAATGTCAGGGAGAAAACTGAGGGACTGAGAAAGGAAGGGGCAGTCCCCAGGGCCAAATTAGTCCTGTCAGCTGATTTGGAACCTTGTCCCCTGTTTCCCAGCCTGATGAGCCTGTTTTCTGCTTGTTAAAATGGGTCAAGAAAGCACTTTTGTTAATATAAAGCAGGCAAACGCAATCTTGGCAAAGTTGTCAGCTGTACAGAAGCACAACACAAAACACTAAGGACCAACTATTTCCTCATGGGGAGACGAGAGCCGGCACAAAAGACAAGCCCAGGAAAGACAGAAATGTAGAAATTCCCAAGAAAGTTCCAGACACCAGTCTTCTCCTGAGGACCTCCTGGTGTGAGAGGCGTCCCTCACTCACCCCAGCCTTGTGAGAGAGCAATACTGCGTCCAGTTTCTCTCTCTTTAGGCCTACCTAAGGGGCCCCTTCTCAGACAGACAAAGCCTACCTTCAGAGGAATCGAAGACTTCCAACTTGTCGACTGTGATGTGCCCAGACTATTGAATTCTGGAAAACTCTTCGGAACCCAGGATTCTAGAAAATTCTTCGTTCGGAGTCCAAGTAATCTTTCAGGACTCCTGAGACTCTTTGGGGTCCAGGTAATCTTTCGGATCCTGGATGAGCCCCCAAATGTTAGGGTCCGGTGTCTGAAAGACCACATGAAGCAATAAACTCTGGAGTATAAGATTTTATTTGGCACAAGTCAAACAAGTCTGGAGTTTAGAAAGCTGACCAGTCAGGGCCCTCTCCTTTAGTAGGAGAAGGACCCCTCCCCTTGTTTCCAGAGTCTTTTTATGTAGGAGGGGAGTAGGCCTTCACATTCCAATCTTGCTGTGTTTATGCAAAAGAACAAGCCAGGTATGTTAAGCCACTGGGCAAACTTGAGGTGAAAGTGAAGAGAAAACTATGTTTTTGTACCTTGCCCTCTGTAGAAATCAGACTCAGTCCTATAGAGTGATTGAACAAATGTATTCTAATGAGCTCAATTAAAAAAGGGTTTAACAAGCCTAATAGTTGGTTTGTGCCCCATTGGTGGGCCACTAATTTTAATAAGGGTATCTTTTAACTCAGCTTCTGTCTGTTTCACCCTGACACCTGAAATTCTTCCAGGCATGGGTATGGAAAATTTCCAGAACCACCATCAATCAATTGCTCCTCTACCCGTACTCCCAGTGTTTACCTGCCAATGGGTCTTTGCACTTGTTATTTAAATAATTTTCCCACTATATTCTATGACTCATTGTCTCTATTCAAGTCTCTGATTAAATATTAACTGATGAGTCTGTCAATCACTCCTCAAAACCTCACCATACACTTTTCATAGCACTCCTGAAAGATACCATTACAGATCTCTCTCTCTCTCTCTCTCTCTCTCTCTCTCTCTCTCTCTCTCTCTCTCTCACACACACACACACACACACACACACACACACACACACTTTTTTCAAGCAGAATATAGCTTCTTGTGGACAAGGGCTTTCTCTAGTCTACTTAATACTGTATACCCAGCATGTTTTATTTTTACCCTGGAGCAAAATATGACGCTTTGCACAGCTGTACTGAAAAAGTTCATAAATGCTCTAAAGAAGCCCGAGTAAGTTGTCAGTGTTGCTCTAACACCACATTGAAAGTCCTGGTGTGAAGGACCTTCTGTCCAGAACAGTCTTCCCATCTATATCACCTGGGCGTGTTTGATCTGAGGTTCTCTACCGACACCTGTCAGTGACACAGTCCCCAGAATCCTTCTCTGTACTGCTAAACATTGTCACAAGTCAGCCTACTCTCCTGGATACCCAAGTGACGTGGAGATCTTATTTTCTCCTAAAGAGCTGGCAGTAGGCTCAGGTGAAATTGGGTGTTGCTTTGTTTAGTTTCCAGGGGGCACTGAGTGACTTTGGGGGGGGGGGGGCTATAATACCAACTATGCTCAGGGCTTATGCCTGGCTCTGAGCTCAGGGATCATTCCTGGTTGTGCTAGAGGAGGGGGTTATATGGGCTGCTGGAAATCAAATCCAAATCAGTCACATGAAAAACAAGTGACTTTTATCTTGTCACCGATTATTTGCCCCTGAAAAGGGTGTAGGCCAAATCCACATGGAAATCTCATCTCTGTTCCATTTTTTCAGCTTACAAAGAGACTCCTCCAATTTTGTCCGTTTCCCCTACAATGACAGTGATGTAAATTCTACAGAAATATATAACGAAGTTTGTTCCTTTGCTCCTACTCATCTGCCTGATATTAATCTGTTTGCTTCACCAGACTGAGAAGGAATCCAAGGGCTTTATTTCGTACCCTCCAGGGTTCTAAAGAGAACTCAGAGAATAAGTTACTGATGCCTAATTTTTTTTTCTTTTTTGGGGTCACACCCGGCAATGCACAGGAGTTACTCCTGGTTCATGCACTCAGGAATTACTCCTGGCGGTGCTTGGGGGACCTTATGGGATGATGGGAATCGAACCCAGGTCAGCTGTGTGCAAGGCAAACGCCCTACCCGCTGTGCTATTGCTCCAGCCCCATGATGCCTAATGGTTTTAAATCAAGTCACTTTCTCTGCTTTTAAAGATTATCTGGCTTCTTTTTATCCAGCCCTGTTAGTCTGTGTTTAGAATGTTGATCCTGGGACTGACCATTCCTTTCACCATATGTAAGTTTACCCCAAATCCTTAAAGTTTCTTCATCTGGGGGACAGGGAAAGAGAAACGGTGGTAAACATCCAGATTGTTTAGGAATCACTCCTGCTGAATTTCAGAGGACCCTATGGGGTGCTTGCATTCAATTCAGATTGACTGCAAGGCAAATGCTATACCGTCTCTTTGGTCCCAATTCCTAAGATGTTTTATTATTTCACTTCTGTGTAATCCCATCAACGGTCACGACCCAGAGACTATAAAACCCAGCTCCTGGAGAAGAACAACGCAGAGTCTCCTGCCCCCGCGCCCGGCTGTCCTCACCAGGGCCCCTTGGAGGGAGCGGGTTGAGTTTCCCTCCCTGCCCTGACCAGGGCTCCGGCAGCCAAAGACCTCCAGAATCAGCCACCACCATGCTGAGACCACTCTCCGCACACATGAAGGTACCGGCAGAGGAACAAAGGCATGCAGGTCCTGGGGCTGAGATCTCCAAGCCTGCTCGGATCTGAGCATCCTCCACCCAGATCCTCCACCTTCCAGTAGGCAGGGGTCACACCCACCAACTGGCCCCCTGGCGCCGTGTAATCCCATCAACAGCCAAGACCCAGAGACTATAAAACCCAGCTCCTGGACATCTTATTATCTCATTCTTACTTTGGACAAAATGGCAGGCTACCGAATGTAACCTGCCCACACAGCAGAGTCTGGCAAACTCCCCAGGGCGTACCCAATATGCCAAATACCAGTAACAATGATGGGTCTCATTCTCCTAAGCCTGAAAGAGCCTTTAATATGACACTTTTTAAAAAAATCTCAGGGCTAGGACGAAGGAGACGTTACTGGGGCCTGCTCGAGGCAATCAACGAACAACAGGATGGTCATGATCATGATCGTGACTTCTGTGGCCAGAGAGCTAGGACAGGAATTAAGGTGCTTGTCTTGCACACAGCAGAACTTGGTCTGACCCTAAGAACCTCATATGATAGGCTGACCACAACCAGGAGTGATCCGTGAGCAGAATCAGGAGTGAACTACTGGGTGTAGCATACAAACAAAATGAAATTCCTACTGAAAATCACCTTCAGTTTAAGCAACAACTACATATTGATGTGGGGTAACTGAAGAGTACCAAACTAAAGACAATGATCAAAGGATCAACTTCAGAATCAAAGATTCAAAGAAAAGTATACATACACAGGCTGAGCGGGACGATATGTGCACATAGCTTCCCTCTATTACCTAATTCCATTTCCTCATTTTTGTTTTGGCCACACAGGGCAGTACTCGGGGTTTACTCATGGTGCTGAGGGGTCACTCCTGAAAGCACTGGTGGGGGCAACACGGGTGACCGGTGCTCAAGGCAAGAGCCAGACACGCTATACTCTGTGACCCTCTAATGTTTAGAGTTAAGGGTACCAAGTACAAGACAAAAGGCAAATGTGCAATCAACTTTTAAGTTCCTAAAATCCATTCTGTAAGAAAGCTTCTACAATGACAATCTAACAGCATCCATCATTGGAGAACGTGCGCAAGCATATTAATTTCTCTTCTCAAAAGTAAATGAACTGGGCCCAGGATGGAAGATGCATGCTGAAAGTAGACTATAGACTGAGCATGCTTGCCACTCAATTCCTCTTTTGCAAACCACAGCACCCAAAAGGAGAAAGAGAACAAATGGGAGTGCCCTGCCACAGAGGCAGGGTGGGATGGGGGGATGGGAGGTGGGAAGGATACTGGGATTGGTGGGGGTGGAGCATGGGCACTGGTGGAGGGACGGGTACTTGATCGCTGTATAACTGATACCAAAGCACAAAAATTTGTAAGTCTACAACTGTACTTCTGTTTCACTAATAAAAATTTAAAAAAAGAAAAAATAAAAGACTTTAAATATATATATATATAAAAAAATTAAAATAAGCTGGAAACTTTGGCATTTAAGGGTCCCATGCCAGCTCCTTTGAACGCGGGTGGGGTGGCTCTGAAAAGAGCCTTTGGGGCCTCGTCCCCGCAGGGCCTCACTTGGAGCTGGTGTACTTGGTGACGGCCTTGGTGCCCTCGGACACGGCGTGCTTGGCCAGCTCGCCGGGCAGCAGCAGGCGCACGGCCGTCTGGATCTCCCGCGACGTGATGGTCGAGCGCTTGTTGTAGTGCGCCAGGCGGGACGCCTCGCCGGCGATGCGCTCGAAGATGTCGTTGACGAACGAGTTCATGATGCCCATGGCCTTGGACGAGATGCCCGTGTCGGGGTGCACCTGCTTGAGCACCTTGTACACGTAGACGGAGTAGCTCTCCTTGCGGCCGCGCTTGCGCCTCTTGCCGTCCTTCTTCTGCGCCTTGGTCACGGCCTTCTTGGAGCCCTTCTTGGGCGCCGGGGCGGCCTTGGCGGGCTCGGGCATGGCGGGGGCCGCGCGGGCAGCGGGCGGGCAGCGGGCGGGCAGCGGGCGGGCAGCGGGCGGGAGGCGGACGCGAGCGCAGCGCAGGACCGAGGCCGCCCGCCGGGCTCGCGACTTACGGCGGCCGCATGCAAATGAGGGCCTGGCGGCCGCGCGCCGCGATTGGCCGGTTCCCCGCAGCCCGCGCGAGGGGCGGGGTTATGCAAAGGAGCGGCTCGCGGCCGCACCGCCCCATTGGTCGCCGGGGCCGGGCTCAGCGGGCCAATCGCGGCGCTCGGCGGCCGGGCGCGCTCCTGCCTATAAAAGGGCGAAGCGGCGGCGGCCCGCGAGCGGCGAGCGGGGTCGGGGCCATGTCGGGCCGCGGCAAGCAGGGCGGCAAGGCGCGCGCCAAGGCCAAGTCGCGCTCGTCGCGCGCGGGGCTGCAGTTCCCCGTGGGCCGCGTGCACCGGCTGCTGCGCAAGGGCAACTACGCGGAGCGCGTGGGCGCCGGCGCGCCCGTCTACCTGGCGGCCGTGCTCGAGTACCTGACGGCCGAGATCCTGGAGCTGGCGGGCAACGCGGCGCGCGACAACAAGAAGACGCGCATCATCCCGCGCCACCTGCAGCTGGCCATCCGCAACGACGAGGAGCTCAACAAGCTGCTGGGCAAGGTCACCATCGCGCAGGGCGGCGTGCTGCCCAACATCCAGGCCGTGCTGCTGCCCAAGAAGACCGAGAGCCACCACAAGGCCAAGGGCAAGTGAGGCCGCGCGCGCCGCGCGCCAGCCCGCCCGCCCCCAAAGGCTCTTTTCAGAGCCACCCACGGTGCCAGGGAAGGAGCTGTCCGCTCGGGTCGCGTCCGGGGGCGGGTGGGGAAAGGTCAGTCCCGGGGACCGGCCGCCGCGGGCTCTGGTCCCCAGGCACCTCGCGGGGCGGGTGGGGAGGGGTGTCTGCTGCAGACGCCCGCGGCCAGTCTTTGGACAAAGTGGACAAACTCCGGGACCCGGGACTCGGTCCGCTCGGTGGCTCCCCAGGTCTCCGGGGAAGTTGGTCCCGAGGGGTCGTTCTGCTGGGCGAGCCCGCAGCTCCCGGTCGCAGCGTGGAGCGCCGGGGGCGGGGCGTGGCGGGGCCCGAGCGGGTTCCGCGGGTTCGGCCCCTGGTCCAGGCTGCCAACAGCCAGAGCGCCTTAGCAGCGGGCGCGGGGTCCGCACCGGCTTCCGAGATCGGGGTCGCGGCGGCCCATCCGCGCCCCCTCGCCGGGGACTCCGGCACGCCCCGCCGGGCAGAGACGTCCGGGTGGTCGGGGGGCGGGGCAGGGAGGCAGGAGGGAGAGGAAGAGAGACAGAGGCGGGAGGGCGCGCCGCGGGGAGGCGGGTCCGGCGCGTCGGGCGCGGCCAACCGGTGCCCGCGGGCGCGTGACGTCAGGGCCAATGGGCGGCCAGCGCGGGCCCTTCGCTCGCCGCCCGGCTGCCCAATGGGGCGGAGGGCGCCCCTATAAAGCGAGGCGCGGCCGCCCGGGCCTCCCCCTCGCGCCCTCGCCATGGCCCGCACCAAGCAGACCGCGCGCAAGTCCACCGGCGGCAAGGCGCCGCGCAAGCAGCTGGCCACCAAGGCGGCCCGCAAGAGCGCGCCGGCCACGGGCGGCGTCAAGAAGCCGCACCGCTACCGGCCGGGCACCGTGGCGCTGCGCGAGATCCGCCGCTACCAGAAGTCCACGGAGCTGCTGATCCGCAAGCTGCCGTTCCAGCGGCTGGTGCGCGAGATCGCGCAGGACTTCAAGACCGACCTGCGCTTCCAGAGCTCGGCCGTGATGGCGCTGCAGGAGGCCAGCGAGGCCTACCTGGTGGGGCTCTTCGAGGACACCAACCTGTGCGCCATCCACGCCAAGCGCGTCACCATCATGCCCAAGGACATCCAGCTGGCGCGCCGCATCCGCGGGGAGCGGGCCTGAGCGGGCGCGCGCCTCGGCCGCCGCCCGGACCTTCATCGCGGCGCCGCACCCAAAGGCTCTTTTCAGAGCCACCCACCCGTGCACCCGGAGGAGCTGTGCCGCTGGTCCCCGCGCCGGGTCGGGTGGGCTGGGAGGGTCGCTGGCTGGCGCGCCTTCCCGTCCCCTTCCCCGTGGCACAGCGCCACGGAGAGCGGGTGGTCGCTGCTGGCGCTATCTCGGGGTTGTCTCTGCCCACGGCAGGAAGGACGGGCTCCATCGGAGTGGACGCAGCTCTAGGGCTCCTCCACGCGTGATTCGGGAGCTGCCGAGGGGACTGCGCGGGTTTCCGCTCGCTCCCCTCGTGGCTGCAGGGGCCGTCCCTGTCCCCACCCCGCACCCGCGGCAGTGCCTGGCGCTCTCGCGGACGCCAGTGCCCACGTGTTCCCCGGAGCGGAATTCGCGACCTGGGGGCCCTTTCCCGGATGTACCCCGAGCGGACGGTTCCCCAGTCACGACGCAGGGAAAGTAAGGGCTGGCTTTCGGGGGGTGGTTGCAAGGGCGGTGTCCCGTCCTGACATTCGCCTCTAGTTCGGGCGAGCCGTGGTTTCGAGTGGGGGTGGGGAGGGGGCGCTTCGCCCTCGCAGGCGTCGGGGCCCAGGCCTCTAGGTCCAGGCCCCGGGGGACACTGACTGCTCCAGCCGGTGGGGCAGGTCGCCCAGGAAGCGCGTCCAGCGGCCCGCCCGGCTCCCGCTGGAGTGGGACCGTCCGGTCCAGGCGGAATCCGGACTTCCCTGAGTATCCCGTCCGGCGAGCAAGGATGCTGCTCGTGGGGCGTCACGGAAACCAGAGCATGGTCCGTGTGTGGTGGAGGGGGAACGGCGCAGCGAGCACCCCGAGGTTCCGTGACACCCTTCTTGGAGAGACACTTGGGGACGAGTCTCCACCCTGCCAGGCGCTCCCAAACGGGAACCTTCTGCAGGCCCGAGTGCCCAGCGCTGGAAAGACCTGGCCGCTAGGTGCTTCACGGAGGGCCTTGACGGTCCCCAGCCGACCTGGGGGTGGGGGGAACGTCCCCTCATCTGGGAGGACCTTCGGCCAAGTGTCGCCGGTGGGCAGGACCGAGGGTCCCGGGCCGGACGTCTGCCGCTCAGTCCGGGGAGGTCGCGGGGAGCGCGCTGCCCACAGCCGCCCCCAGCGCCCGACCAGGGCAGCCCGCGACTCGGCTCTTGCGGGACCCCGCGGTGGCCCGGGAAGGGCCTTCGGGGGGAGCCACGTCCGCGGAGCCGCGGCTCGGCCCCGAGGCCGTAGAGGGCGCGGCCCTGGCGCACGAGCCCGTACGCCGCGTCCGTGGCCGTGGCCGTGGCCGGCTCGCGCTTGGGTGCTCCGGGCAGGTGCCGCTGTCGCGAGTCACGACCTCCAGGAGCACCTTGAGCACCCGCGGGTGTCCTCGCAGACGCGCCCCGAGATGCGCTTCCCGCCTGATGCCCTGGAGGTGGCCCGGCCACCCACCCCTGGCGGTGCCGCTGGGCGCCGCCCTTGCCCAGCCCCTTCCCGCCCTTGCCCGGGCGACGAGCGCCTGCCCCTGCCCCCGCGGCCCCGCGCACGGACCGGAGTGAGAACCGCGGCGCGCGGGAAACGCCCGCCCGGCCCCGCCCGCCGGGTCCGACTCTTCCGGGACTGGCCGCGGCCGCCCCCGCCGCCCCCCGCCCGCCGGACTGGCCACGCCCGGGCCGCCCCTCTGCCTTGCGCTTGGCGGGGAGGGGGCGGCCTGGTGGCGGAAACCAGGAACCGGGGTGCAGTCCCGCCCCGAGGACCCCGATCCTCGGGCGACCGAGCACCCCGGGTCATCGGGGCAGCCCCACGGGCTCTGCGTGTGTCTTCGTCTTGGGGGAGGAGGGGGGACGTGGCGACGGCGACCCCGGCCCCCGAGGGCAGCCCGACGGGATGTGCGTGTGTCTGCGGGAGAGACGGGACAGCGACACTGGTCCCGCGCCCTGGCCGAGCCTTGTGCAGCCGGGGACCACCCCCAGCCCCCCTCGGTGCTGTCCTCTAGGGCATGAGCAGAAAACCGCTTCAGCGAAAGAGAGGGACCTTACTCTTTGGGGGTCACACCCAGCGCCGTTCAGGGGTTACTCCTGGCTCTTCACTCATTAATTATTCCTGGCGGCTTGGGGGACCCTGTGGGATGCCGGGGATTGAACACGGGTCGGCCACATGCAAGGCAAACGCCCTCCGCACTGTACTATCGCTCCAGCAGGCCCCATTAGTTTTGAGGGTTTTGGACCAGTGTCCAGGTTGTTTCCCCAAAAGACTGGACCGGGTCACATTCCCAAAAGCTGTGAATGAAAGTCCCTTTTCCCCACATCCTCACCAGCATCGGTTGTGGTTGTTCTTTGTGATGTGTGTCAGTCTCTCTGGTGTGAGATGACGTCTCATCATCATTTTGATTTGCATCTCCCTGATGATAAGTGATATGACGCATTTTGCTCTGTGCTTTTTGGCCTCCTGTTTGGCTTTGAACAAGTTTCTGTTCATCTTTGCCCCATTTTTATTAAAGGGATTGTTGTTGGGGGAGGTGGTGGTGTCATGGTGGTGATGTTGGATTCTACTAGTGCATGATATATCTTGGATATTAACCCTTTATAACATGGGTGGTGAGTGAATATTCTCTCCCAGTCTGCGGGTGTCTCTTTTTCTGGCCATTATTTCCTCGGCAATGCAGAAGCTTCTTGGTTTGCTATCGTCCCGTTTCCGTTATCTTGTTTCCGTTAGTCTTGCCAGTGGTTTTGAATCATTGAAGGTAGCTCTAGTTTCAAGTGTTCTACCTATGTTTACTTCGGTATAATGATGGATTCGAGTCTCCATTTTGATTTGGCTTTTGTGAGTAGTGTTCCGATTGATTTCTTTTTCTTTCTTTTTTTCTTTTGTCTTTTGGTCTGTGGCTGACCAGTTCTTCCAGCACCAGGTTGAAGAGGCTTTCTGGCTCCAGTTATGTATTTATTTATTTATTTATTTATTTATTTATTGCTCGGTTATCAAAGATGTATTGTCCATCTACCTATGACTCTATCTCTGGACTAGCAATTCACTTTCC